TGCTTTTGTATGATGGAGCCATAATCAAGTTTGGAACGGACCAATGATCGATATAGGTGTAGGAGAGTGGCTTGATCCCCTGCCCACTTAGAATTTGAAACAATTTTCAACAAGTCAAGTGCCTTCAGGCATTTAGTTTTAAGGGGTTTAATATGCGGCAGAAACCGTTAAATGAGAGACAAAAATTAAACCCAAGAACATGGCTTCCTTAACAACTTTGATTGGAGAGCCATTTAGAAACAGTTCAGGGTCTTTATGCGGTTTATATTTCCGACAAAAATGTATACAATTAGTTTTAGATTTAGAAAATTTAAAACCGTTTTCAAAACACCATTTATCTATTTTGTTTAAACACAACTGCATTTGCCGTTCAATAGTATGCATATTTTTACCACGACAAGAAATATTAAAATCATCCACAAATAACGATCCATCAATTGAATCGTTAAAAACTTTTGATAAACTATTTATGTTTATACTAAAGAGTGTGACAAACAAAATACTGCCTTGTGGGACACCCTGATCCTGATGGTCAGACATGGTCAGACAGGGTAGAACCCACGCGGACTTGAAATTGTCTGTCATTTAAAACTTGGCTATCAATTGAGGCAAGCGGCCTCGCAATCCAAAGCCATTTAAATCTTTTAAAATGCCATATTTCCACGTAGTGTCATATGCTTTTTCTAGATAAAAAAGATAGACACAGCGTGCTGTTTATTAATTAGAGCGTTTTTAACAAATGATTCTAAACGCACCAAGTGATCGACAGTACTTCTGTTTTTACGGAAACCACATTGTATATCTGTTATTAGGTCATTGGTTTCCAAGTACCAAACAAGTCGATTATTTATCACAGCTAGTTAGTGAAATTGGCCTATAATTGGAAGGATCTGTATTGGCCTATAATTGGAAAGATCATGTCCGGGTTTAGGTATAGGCACAATTATAGCATCATGCCACGACGAAGGAAATTGTCCAGATGTCCAAATGTCATCAAAAATACGTAAGAGCGTCTCTAAACATGATTCAGGTAAGTGTTTCAGGAGTTGATAATGTATACCATCAGCTCCTGATGCAGTATCGTGAGCTTGGTCAAGAGCAGTATGAAGCTCGTGTATCGAAAAGGTTTCATTGTAGTCTTCCCCATTGTCTGAATTGAAATTAATAGATTTCTTTTCTTGCTGTCTTTGATATTTCTGGAATGCAGGTACATAGTTAGATGAGGAAGAATGTTTGGCCAAAGTTTCTCCAAGTTTATTTGCTATGTCAGATTTATCAGTTAATAATTCATCTCCATCTTTGAGATGCTTAATGCTAGATTTAGAGCCCTTACCTTTTATTTTCTGGATCATATTCCATACCTTTGATATCGGCGTGCGTGAATTGATGTTTGATACATAGTTTCGCCAAGATTGGCGCTTACTTTGTTTAAAAGTACGCCGTGCTCTGGCGTTTAATTTTTTAATTTTTTTAAATTATGGACCATAGAATGGCAACGGAAATAATGTTCAGCTTCCTTCCGTGCCTTGCGAGCCTGTTTGCATTCAGGGTTAAACCATGGTCTACGTACATTAGAAACTGCAGAGGATTTGGGGATACTCTTGTCAGCTATGTGTTTGAGCTCATCTGAAAAACATTTTATGGCATCAGGAAGATCATGAAAAAGTTCAGAGTTTGTCAGCACAGAAAGTTTCATATAAAGGCCAGTTAGCCTTCTTAAAGTTCCATCTTGATGATGGAGGAACATCAGATGAATTCACGGGTTTTAGTATTGTTGGGAAATGGTCACTTTCACATAGGTCGTCGTGGACTGACCACTCAAATTCATTCAATAGGTCTGAGTCAGTAATCGATAAATCAAGAGCTGAATAAGTTCCTGTGCCAGGATGTAAATATGTGCTAGAACCGTCATTATATATGCATAAATCATTATCTGAACAAAAGTCTTCTAATAGTTTACCTTTAGCATTAGTAGTTGTACCACCCCAGAGCAGGTTGTGGCCATTTAAATCTCCCCATAATGATACAAGGTTTCTGGAGTTGGTCATATAAATTTTGAAGGTCAGTCTTCTGAAGAGTTAAAGACGGTGAGATGTACAAAGAGCAGAATGTGAAAACAAAATGTAACGTCAGTTGTACGGCAACCACCTGGAGACCAGTATTAAGTATAACAGGGCTATGGATAACATTTTGTTTGATAAGGATCGAAGATCCTCCAGTGGCCCGATCACCTGGAGGTGAAAAGGAATGGTATGCATTGAAATGGCGTAAATCAAATGTATCCGTCTGTTTTAAATATGTCTCCTGGAGAGAAATGGCTGATTGTGTGAAGTCCTGGACTAATAGCTACAAATCATTGAAATTATTCCTTTAGCCCTCTGCAGTTCCACTGTACAATATTATTAAAATACATTATCTTTTGGGGGGATTAACTGGGGATCTACCCAGCACTTTTTTGGAGGGCGACAAGGTATGTGCCCTAGGATGGACGTTTTCACATACGTCCATGGCCTCAAGAGATCCATATTTGTCGTACAGCTGAATTCTATTTTCCGACCCTTTTGGGGCTCTGCCACTTTGTTTTTGCTTCGGTTTAGTTTTGCTTTTAACAATGTCTTGAGTATCAGATGAAGATTGAGACTGTGAACGTGACTGAGAGGATGACTTATGATCAGAAGATGACTCTGACTGCTTTTCGGACGTACTAGGAAGTGATTCCGTAGTTTGAGATGATATAGTGGGATACAAAAGCTGTGGATTGTCGCCTTTGACCCAAGTGAAGTTTGTTTGACAGCTTGTGGATGATGTATATACTTTAGGGCTTGATTCAGTTGGTGTTTTGGCTATTGAAGCATAACGTTCTGTAAGTTTAGATCTCTTTACAAATGTTTTGGCATCAGAAAAACTGATTTTCTGGGTGAATTTGATCTTATTGATCTGCATATGTTCTTTCCAAATGGGACACTCTTTTGAGAAAGATGAACGTTCTCCTGAACAGTTAGTGCATTTTTTAAAGGTACTTGTACAATCTTCAGTTGTGTGTGTCTTCTCACCACAGTGAGCACACACAACGGACAATGTGCAAGTATTTACACCATGTCCATACTTCTGGCATTTAAAGCATCTCAGCGGATTAGGAATGTAGGTGTCAACTTTAATATTGCAATAACCTGCTTTCAGTGATTTGGGAGCAGTTGGTGACGAAAAGGAAAACAGATAAGTATTGGTCTGAACAGTTTCATTGTTTTTACGGATTGAAAAGCGTTTTACATAGAGTACACCTTGATCTTTCATTTCAGTCACGATGTCAAGTTCTGACATGTCAGAAAACAATCGATCACGATCTCTGATGATACCTTTGCTTGTGTTTAATGTCTTGTGAGCAGAGACAGCGACCGGAAAGCCGACAAACGATTCAGTGCTCAACAGATTGGCCGATTGCGGCCGTTTCCCGCACTCAAACAGTAACGCACCTGAACGTAACCGTTTGATATTCTTAACTTCGCCGAATACCCTTGGAAACCGCGAAAGGGTTCAACTTTAATGGTGTTTTGTCGAGAGTTTCAATCACAAGAAAGCGTGGCCAAAAGTCAAGTGATTTGCACAGTCTAAGGTCATCATCATCAGGATCATTTTCAAGAGGACGTTTTGTTTTTTTGGTGGGGGTTTCATAAGCCATGGTTAGTGTAGAGATTTCACCTTCCGAGCTCCCCACCAACCACGGAGTATCACAAGAACAATGCTAAAAACAAGTGGATCTCCGACTTGCAGCACCAAGGATACCCGGATGATATACTCCAGCAGAAAAATTAAAAGATTAATGAATCCACCAGATTGTCCCATGAGTCACCGCCTTCTGGGCATACGACTCTAGGCAAAAACATACATGAAATTGTGTAGTTGAAATTCCCAGTTCCAAAAATTCCCCAAGACTTTAAACATAAAATTGTATAATTCTAAAAAATTTGGTGCAATAGTACATAGACGTAGCACAGGGCTTGGCGTGACCAGCCGATTGATAGAACCGGGCCAGTTCTACCACCCGTCTAGGTGAAGAAAGGGGCGAAGTGGTGTGTTGGGCAGAGGAACACTGTTCCTGGAACCAGTGCCAGACTCCCGTCCTCCACCGACACAGGGGCGCAACCCACGGCAAACAGGTTGGTGGACCAAATATACCCCCGGGTCCACAACAGGGGTTTGAAGAGTGCTTAGCGTTACCCAGCATCCTCCACGAGGAGGTGGCTCTTCACGGGTGCCCATTAAAGATATACAATATCAGTTGTTGTGTCCTCATTATTGAATAGCCCCTACAGTTGTTTACTGGTATAGTTCCATAATGACGAGAATGATTTTCAAACGCCATAGTCCGACTACGACCATATCTTAAGCGTGAGTTGGAATGGCAATGTAATAACGCTAGAAGGAGAGGGGGTCGTATTCCGCCCCAGGAGTGGCACCCGTCACAAAGACGTGCAGAGCAAACACAGAAGTAGAACAGAAAAGAATATTGCAATTTGGTAGGTACCATGAGTTACCTAGACGACCGGTTTGGCAAGTTTATTGAAATGGTTCACACAGGGATTCTTTACACGTTGTATGTAACCTGGAAATGACAGACGTACATTAATACCCTACTTACTTCCCTGTGTTCCAGTCAGCGTCTCTGGACTGTCCACCTATTGTAATGAAAGTGCAACGTTAACAAACTTTTAACATATCATATATCGAATAAATTGACACTGGATCTTACGAAAACGTTATTTAATATATGTATACCTATATGAACACCGTTGTTGTTTGCAGAAGTCATTGGCAGTAGTATGAAGCTGATATCCACACTCACAGTGAAACTCTTTGTTGTATGAAGTCCGGCCATGTTCACGAAGTTCATTTCCATTGTCACCGTCTTCCCTTCCAGCATTGGGTGCTTCAACCAGCAGTTTCTAATGGGCAGGAGCTGCGTCTTGGTGTAGCAGACTCGATTGACGGGGGTACAGTAACACGTTGAAAAAACCTTACAGGACTGTTGAAAAAGGTGAAATCATATGGTTCATGGAAATGAACAAAGAAACCAAAAAAACTGTCTATCGATTCACAGGATCTATGGTCACTTACATCTACGGTCGTGAGGCAACGTTTCATTAACAATCGCCAGGTTGCTGTCAGTTTTCCAGATGAAGAGGTCCACACGTTTCATACCGCTCTGCATGTCCAGAACGTTTACTTCAACACTAGAATCAAAGCAGTGAGACATTGTTGGTTATTTTTATTTCAGGCGATGAGACAAAGAAAGTAACATCGACGTAGTGCTATTCATCGACTATCAAAACGAACTTCATGGAATATAAAATGATAATTGAATCTTTATGAAGTATTCACACCGGAATGGGAACGAATCTTAAAATTATCTGTTTCTTTACATTAAAAAGTAATTTCGATTTACAATGTTACCGTTATCAGGTTATATACCGGACTTTGACAGGTAGAAAGTAAGAACCTCCGGTAATTTCATAACCTGTCAGTCATGTGTCCGGATAAATCTTAAAATGTTATATTTCCTAATTTCCTCGTCAATGTTATTACTCCTCGAAAAAAAATCATTTTCACAATGCCATCGAGGTGTTGTCAAATAAAAAATAGCAGTTTTATGGAAAATCCCAGGCACTGACCCTCTACATTTCTGATTGGTTGTTTGGGTGCAAGGTCTCGCGTACCACAATGAAAGGCGTGACCACTTGACCGGTAAAAATTACTTATGACAGGTATTCTCAAAGTTGAAACTCGGCCCGATTACTAGAATAAAAACAAACAAAAACAACAACAACAAAAAAACACAAAAAAACCCCCAAAAACAGACATGTGACGAATAATCTATCAAACTGATGAACTAACTAACATCCGTGTGTTTTAATACATTGAAATACTAAGGTACATATATATAACGACTCACGTTGAACTGAATGAAACGTTATTCGTCTGGACGTTCCTCCTGAACACAGGCTGCTCGACTTCAGGCGGTGTATCATCAAAATGTACCCTGGTTGAATCTATCCGGGTGTTGCCTAGGACGTCTGTAGCTCTCACCCAAACTGTCACCGTGTCGCTCTTCGTCAGTGGACCTAGGTGTGAACCTATGAATCACAAACGAATATTCATTATTTCAGAACAAACAGGGTAGTCACGTGATGTGAATAAATAGATTTACTCCATTATAAGATACCAATATGTCGAGTTCTGTTGCAATAATATTCATGGCAGTAAGTATAATCCCGAATTGACGTATGTTGCATAATAACGAACTCGTTACCTGGAGGTATGGTATATATTTCACTGAGTCCAACATCAGTCCATTCCGCCTGATTCACACCGGCGTTGCTGTCCTTCACATAAGCTATCTCAAACTTGACAACACCTCTCTTGTTTTGTATTGCGTCTACTGTCCTGTTTCCTTCGTGGTCGTCCTGTCTGGACTCTCTGGGGATGTTCTTCAAGAAGTCCTCGAGCTGTGGCGGGTATTGGAGGACTTGGTTCAACCACTTGCCCTGCTCGTGCATCAGGTTGACAAAGTGGTTGGTCCACGTGATCTCGATATCTGTAGATGGATCATCTTGCCAGTTGTACCCGCCATTAGGATCCGCCGAAGATATGTATAGACGGTTGTGTGCCCCTGTATCTATAGTAACACTGGACACGGGGTCGTATATGGCGATTCTCCTGACAAAGACAGAGTTATTGGCCTTGTCCGAGGCCTCCAGGATGAAGGAGTACACTCCAGGAGCAGTTGGTGTGTAGATGGCTTGGAAGGAGTTGGAGGGAGATGACGACTGATTGACTTCAACAGGTCCATATATGGGATTCAAGGGTTCATACTCCTTCAGAACCTGGTTCCCATCCACCTGTAGTTTAAATACCTCCCAGGCATAGCGGTACATGCCAGAAAGAAAATCATTCCAGTTGGACCAGCGGAGATTGATTGGATTCTGAAAATAATGTGTAACAATGTACCTGTTCCAAGCCGATATCAATAGGATATTGCTTTGGGTTTATATTAAATATGCAGTTAAAATTCCATTTAGAATATTGTTATGCTGTCCCGACATTTAGTGAGGACCAGAGACAAGTATTTTAAAATTATTTATAAGCATTATCACAATTTACTGTTGAGACACGTCATGGTTCCTTGTAGTGAGTGAGTGAGTTTAGTTTTACGCCGCACTCAGCAATGTTCCAGTTATATGGCGGTTTGTAAATAATCGAGTCTGGACCAGACAATCCAGTGAATCAACAGCATGAGCATCGATCTGCGCAATTGCATGGTTCCTTGTAAGACACAATACGCAGTGTGCTGTTTCTCTGCAGCTTTGATTAAAAATAGGTGTTGAATGTGTGCTCAGGATTCATGGAACAAAACTACGTATTCACTTTGACGATAAATACAACGACTTTTATTGACCTTGTGATATCAGCAAAAAAGTCATTCAATCGTATTTAGAGTACATAACATAATCTTTTAGTTGAAGACATGGGGATATAATAAGATGACAGCGTATCATTCAAACCTGTACATCTTGAGGAAATACTACATATACAATGTTGACACATAATGTTTCATGACAATGACAGTGATGCCAAAACTGTTTCTATTCTTTACAAATAATGACCATGGTGCCTTTTCACATGTCATGATGTTTACCTTTGTCACATCTTGCGTCATTGAAAATGGTTCACCTAAACAGGGTGACCCTTGACCCAGGCAGCTATGGGTTGGTTCCTTGAAGTCAAAACGGAACTGCATAGACTGATCTACCATATGTCCCGTGTAGTTCTGGTTTCCTCTGTCTATCAGGCCAGAAAAAGTTTCTTCCTGGAGTGCCCGGTAACCCCCGCTCCAGGCCTTGAATGTTAGAATAAGTCTGAAGTAGAGAAGAAAAGATGCGTATGTAGCCCTTGCGTTTCCTGGCCTTACCATTTTTTATCTCAATATGTTCTAACAAAAGTTTTAAGATATACATAGCTCAGTACATTTACCATGACGATATTCTTTTCAATAAAAGCTTTCTCAATTCCCTACCATAAGTGTACACGGTATGGATTCCATTATATAGACACGATTTCTCTTATTCATTCTGCTGATAAAAGTGATATACCAGTCACAAAATACAAATGGAAACCATGAACAAATGGTTTCAAGACGTAGTTGTAGTTTACAACCAGCACCAGCACAACTAAATCAAACCTGTGCACACAAGTACAGGGAGGACCGGCATATGTGTACTTAAATGAATCACTCATGAGCTCACGTAGGCTCGAATGAACTATGAGTTTGTGAAGTCTTCTTCTATTCACTTCATTAAGATAGAATCGTCGTTCTGCAGACATGATTTTATAATGGCACAAACAAGGGAATGACATATATATTTGTGAATAATGGTATATAAAACTGGCACAACGCATGCAGACTTAAAGAGTAGAAATAATTCATAGTCACAAACAATCACAGGGCATTCTCAAGAATATTCCATTTTCTCTCAAATTAATGAATACTGAGATTTGTTTCTAGATATCAATTTCTCAATGTCATATTCATCTTTTAATATCACTTTGTATGTGATCAAACTTGATTCACACCGTCATGACAAAGATGTGGCGCTTGGCTAATATGATCATGTGTTTGAGCTTGTGGTCACTATTGGCACAGAATGTTATGTCTTGAGTTGACAGTTCGATTGTTCTGTGTAGGACACTATTAACAAAATTGGTGAATTCTTTAGAGAATAAATAATGGTTGTACAGTTTATTGGACAATTCTATTCGCAACCACACTCTAAGAGTGAAGAACCAAGTCGCAAGCATACAGTATCGTCGATTTTGCACACCGAGGCTGCCAGAAGAAGTCGTAACATCAGTATATCACAAGGAAAGTGTATTTTCCAACATAACACGTTTTACAAAAGAGGAAAAGATCTTACGTATCTCCGTTTTCCAGAGATCTGTTGTAGTCTGGTTTGATAATGTCACAGTAGTAGGTGTCGGAGGTGGGGTTGTGGGAAGACACAGTCGGTGTGCAGGGCAGAGTTGTGTCAATACTGACAATCGGAGTTGACCCTAGAAGAAAAATGTAAGATACGAAGTATTTTGTAACTTTTGCAACAAAATGACGCTGATTTAGTTTGGTGTGACGTATAGCATATGACATTTATGTTTGCGTATACAACAATAATTATGTATTTCTAATGTCGGTTGAATGCATGACAAAATGTATTGTTATCAGGCCGGATTTATAAACGCGTTTCGAATGAAATGAACTCATTGTGCTGATCATGAAGATGTTTTCATTTCTGATTGGTTTATCGATCTTCCTAAGACATAATCATGATAATTTGTGATGCTTCCGGAAGTAGAACCGATAGTAAAGAACCATCCTCGTTATGTTTTTAGAATCAACACCTCCAGTCTCTCTGACTTACACTTTATTATGGTTTATGTATAATTAGCATTACGTAGAATAGCATCCGATTTTACTCGTACTCTATCATTATCATTTCAATGAGGTAAATATTCCCACCAGTCAAAGGTAGTTTCTCGTGATGAATGTCAACTTCGGCTTTAGCAATACCGATGCCATAGCTCTTGATGAAAAAGGGCTGAGTGTGATTATCCGTCATGTAATGGGCAGACGCAGTGACGTTCACCCAGTTGAATCTCTCCCTGTTTGTCCACACGGAGTCAGAAACATTGGACATGGTGGAGTCCACGTACAGGGAATACGTCTCCATGGTTAGCATCCCGGTGCCCCGCTGCCAGAACGACAGTCTGGCGCCGATCTCGTAAATCTCTGGCTTCTGGGGTGATTCCACTGTAACAAAAATTACCATAGACATTCAGCCGCTTGTTACCTTATGCATCACGAACCGTCCTCAGTGTGAAATTTGGGATCTATCCACTTTGACTATATTTACAAAGTTCACGCACATTCCTTACCTCATTTAATCGATGTGTTATTACATATTCCATTTTTATCACAGGTAACCATAGTGAAAGGACAGGTGTACACAACGAACTTTTTCATGGGCATTTATTTTGTGGTTGAGAAGAATATACCACTGGTCCTTAATTGACTTTGTAATTGACATGAGCTTATAGTGTAAACATCATGAACCAGTACATTGTCTAATAGTCACTCGGACGAGTTGACGGAGACGTGAAGCCTGAAGAACAGTCACAGTTGACACTGGAACCTGGTGTACAGCTACCGGGGAAACAGGGCCTCTGGTAGTTACATACCACTGAAAAACAAACCAAAAACTAAAGATAGATCAAGCGAAACCATATCCTTTGCAACTCTAGTGATTTCTTCTGTGTACGTAAGAATTTAATCCACCAATTGGACAAACTGTACTTTTACTATTTTATTATTATACTATTTTACTATTATACTATTACTGTTAAAGGAAAGGCATTAACAATACATACACGTGTTACACGTTGGTCCTATAGCGCCATCACTACACTGACAGGTGTTGGGTAGCACACAGGTACACCCGTTCTTACAGGTAGGGCTGCAGATTGCTGGAAATATGACATCAAACAAATCAAATTATCCCCTCATGTCCTTTCTCACAACTGTAACGTGTCATCACATTGTGCAAACTGTTGAATCTCTCGACTAAAATACAAAGCAGCGAAGGAACTCGATACTTCTTTTATGAACACTACATGCTTAGCACTGTAATTGCAGATTATAATTCGGTTAATATAGCCTCACAGATTCCAGCTGATAAATACGTTATGCGGTTACTATGTGAAGGGACCAGTCTTACGTCGGTTACAGTTCTGGTCGGTTGAGGTTGTCCAGCCAGGACAGCAGAAATATACAGTCCGATAATCCGGCACCCAGTACCACTTGTAGTAGCAGCAGCTGAATAGTGGAATCAGAGGGAACATCTCATTGATGACGATGATTATGGGCGACATACAAACTTAAATCCACTGCAATTGTTCAATTTTGTGATTGCTAAACACATAGTAAGTCTAATTGAATTGTAAATCTTGTAAAATGAATAGTTCTACACGTTAATCACACACACTGTGTAGTGACATATTGAAACAGGCGACATAGTCTCTGCCATATACAATATATAGTAGGTGAGCGAAATGCAGTTGAACTTCGTATTAAAAAATATGGACCAACTTGGCGGCTTGCATACACACGTGTGTGTATGTGTGTGTGTGTGTGTGTGTGTTCACGTATGCTTGTGTGTCTCTGTATATGTCTATGTGTGTGAGAGTGTGTGTATATGAATGTGTGCAAATGAGTGTGTATGTGTCAGTCTTACGAGTTCAGGAAGTACTGGTATGATTCCATTAGACCATTGAGATACCACTACGCACAATTTAACTGAACTGTCGTCGTATCCCTTTAATATCGAGCCCCCAAATGGGTGACAACGTTGGTCAGTATGACACTGCAACTGAATGAACCACCAATCTTCAGCTCTCCGAGCGTGTGCTCAAGGCATGGGGCCACGTATTAGGACCAAAAAATAGAAATGTGCAGAATGTATTCACCCTATAACTAATCATGTGAATTGTTACAACATGCACTGGTTCCACATACCTCCTCCACGTCCGATATGCACATCGTCTCACGTGTTTGTAGCTGCAGATTGTCCGAGAACAAACGTTCCTAAAAATAGACACTTTCAATAAAACCTTTGTCAACAGCACTGCTTCATAAGGTTACAATCAAAGTATACACCAAATATGTCGTTAAGAAATTAACAATTGAATCACAAACTTTGAAGTATATATGTGAGAGTGATAGGATTTTAAATAGTAAGACCGACTGTGTTTGAAAATTAGATTGGCCAAGCGTCTTTAAGTGTACCAACATGGATCACCAGCAGTGATGTTCTGGCGGGGAAGCTGGTAGAAAGCAGGATTATGGTAGTTCAGTTTTGACGTGTACTGTTTGAACGATGCAGCGGGACACGAGGGAGTATGATTGCATAAATTTGGCGTTTATCTTGCGAGTAGTCGAAGGTGTGACGCCAGTTCTTTAGGAAGTGCTTCGAAATTACGGGATATTTCATGCTGTGTAAGCCATATACCGTTTACCATATAGGCAAAGTTTTACTCACATTTTGCTGTTAATTGTGTCTATTTAAGGATGTATGTTTATACGTTTTTCTGATAAGTTAAATATTGTTTGTTTATGGTGGGCTTATGAATTGTAATTGAGTTTGTATATGCTCATAATGGACCCGCTAGTACGAGAGGGATGTTCTCTAATAAATGTGGAGGATAAAATCATATAATTGCATTTTCGAGATAAATGTTTTATTAATATTATTTCCATCACGTCTCGTTAATTTCAGCCTTGTTGGTGGTCAGTCGGAAGTAGTGTGGCATTGTTGTATAAGTGCGCAGTGACGCAGCCATAAAATCAGAAGTATTTTCAATCCAAATTCATTGCGTCCAATTTTGTTAATTGTCCAATACAATTCAAATATTCCACGTAATTATGGTAGAATATTAGAATAGACATCATACATAACAATTATGATAAGTTGTTGCATAAGGCAAAACAATGCTTCAAGATACGCAATGTTTTTAATTTACTTCTTTATTTTACTTCCCTTCACTAATCCGCTAGGTGCCCTGATGCGATGTGAGGTGTACGTGTTACTAATACACTTAGACAGTATAGCCTTCACCTTCACTGGTAACGCTAGTGCAAGGACAGTATGTCAAGTGTTATGTTATGAAATAGTTGTTCGGTGATTCCATGATACACCAGGGAAATCTTTAATTGGTAGATTGCAATAATGAATCACCAGGTGATCTTTCTCCTTCCTTATCAATGAATTAGCAATGCAAATTGAAAAAAATTGCAGAAATGGTATTCAGTTACATCCAGATGTGTTCCAACTTTGTCTTTCATTGTTTGTAGATGGCATTGCTCTTATTTCTAGTACAATTGTTGGTCTCCAGAAGCAAATAAATGAATTATAAAGTTATTGCGAACAATCTGAATGTGAATATGAGTAAAACAAAAATAATTACTTTCAAAAAAGGATGTAAATGGTCTCGACACGAAATGGTATTATAAAGGCAATCAGATTGAATCTACAACCTCATATATACCTAGGTGTATATTTTACTAATAAGCTTTCCTGGTCAACCCATGCAAAGTACGCATCTATTCAAGCACAAAAGGTGTTGATAGGTATACTGAAAACATGTTAAATACTTGGAGATTTAAATTTAGCATCCTTTTTCAGAATATTTGATGTTAAAGTTAGTCAGATTCTATTATACGGCGCTGAAATTTGGGGATCTCAATATTTTGACCAAACAGAACGAGTTCATTTACTTGCATGCAAGACGTTTCTTGGGGTAAAGATGAGCACAACTAATGTAATGATTTATGGTGAGTGTGGTAGGTTTCCTCTTGGTACAAATTCACAAGTTAAAGTAATCAAATATTGGCTAAGACCTTTAAGTATGTAAAATGCTGATTTTATATTAATGATAGAAATGGACACACAAATTGGGTAACGAATGTAAAGAATGTTGTATTTACAACAGGTATGAGCGGGATGCTGAGTTTCCCTCAACGTTTATTAGTTTATTTACGCAAAGATTGAAAGATATATACCAACAAAACTGGCTTGAAAAACTTCCCCTTCTACGAAATGTGATTACTATTCTTCTTTTAAACCATGCATTAATTCTGAGCATTATCTATCATGTGTCACGATGAAAAAATAGAGTAAGTTTAGCACGTTTTCGCTGCTCATCACATGATCAGTTGATTGAGAAAAGTAGATTTATGAAGATAAAAGGGAAGATAGGTTGTGTAAATCATGTAATATTAATATCCTAGAAATGTCCATCCATCTATAGATAAATTGTATTCCTTAAAGGATTTTTAAAAAGGTTAAACACTATGCATTTTTATTACATAATGTCATTCAAACATGAATATATACCACACCTGCACCATCCATTTACGAAAAATAGTCGTAAAAATTATAGATATGCACCAAAACTAAAACCGCTTTAGCCCCGCCCACTCGTATGCATATTTATATTGTTAGCGGTCTGCCGTCTGTGGGTGTGACGTCATACCCGAGAGTCCGCTCAGTGTTTTGACATGTCAGTAGTGTATGTGCCATTGAGTTGAAAGTGACACGAAGCGCAATATTTTGAATGAAGCGTTGTTGTGATTATGTATTGGAAACTAACAACTGCACTTCAAGTTTTGATGATTATCCAACTGCGTAAACAACACGGATGTACATTTCCTGAGAAATTCTATTTGACAACAGGACATAGATTGTTTACTGTCATCGTGCGGAATTTGTGAAGCCCTCCACGGACGGTCATCTGTTCGTTACACTTTTCGAAGAAGTGCTATGAAAGAGACCTAACCTCTGGCGAAATATGGATACGAATAGGCAAACTTAAACTTTAATAAGGATGCTATATATCGGGTATTCCTTTCGACATTCCAAACAAACACAGAGGCCGAAATGTCAACTTGGGACTGAGACCGAGAGTTGCATTCCGTAGGCGACGTTGGTTGCAGGTGAGTTTTAAGATGTAGTTGTTTTGGAGCAAAATAAACACTCCAGTAGCTAGCTATATAAAGCAATAGTTGATGAAAAAGTACGTCATAATTTGCGCTCATGTCCTATTTTCGATCAGAGATATATTTTCACTGCCGCTGTTACTGTTACTGTTACTCAGTAGGGCCAAGTCATCTATTTCCCGAGACGGGTGTGTTGTGTGAGTGTGTGTGGAGGGATTGGGATGAGGGTGGGCATGGACAAATGAGAACGTGCAACATATGGGTGCGGTGGTGAGAGAGAGCACATACGTTTTAAAACATAATTAAAAATGAGTCATATCAGATAATTATCCACCAGGGACTGCTCCCTTACCATGTTAAAATGGTATGTGAATTGTGTGTGTGCGTGGGAAAATCAGGGAAATATGTTCATTCAGATAATGTATTTCTTTGTGGGTTTTGTTTTTGGCGAATGTAAAAATGCCACTTTAATGCTATTTTTTAGGATGTACATGGCACCATTTCACATCAATGAAAACAGCCTAAATACCCTAAAGTGACCATGACTAGAGAACCCAACTGGGGAATCAGCTACCCCCTAGGCCTAAACAAAGCGGCCAAGCCAGTGAACAAGAAACCAACACGTGGTAAATATAATTCATCCTACTCATGGCCATTCTTGAGAGAAAAAACATGTTTCCTTCCTACAGACTTGCAGAACGCAACAGCCTATTTTTCCAGGATATTCTGCCAGATACTTTCAGTTATAACTAGTAAACAGGAACTGGTGAATTCACTGACATCAAGATATAAAATGAAATCATGTTTTTGTGTCTAGGGTGTGAACGGAAACCAGTTGTGCCTGATGTCGTAAGGTCTGTTGTATTCGTCTGTTTGAATCCTGGGACTTGTTCAGATGGTTAATGTTTCCAAACTGCAGTCACCACTGTGTCACATGGTGTTATTGCATTCATTATTTTGACATAAACAGTTTAAAGTATGCAAATAAAATAGTTGCTTTAATTTTTGTGTGCTGGTTTCTTGATTTGATCGCTGGTCTTCCTTTGGGACTGATCACACTTTACATATTACTACTAGAACACTATGAAGAATTTTCTTTTTCACTAGCTGACAGTTAAAGAGAACGATAAGGATTTGTCAGCATTTATTGCATCTATATTTCTTTATTATATCTATTATCAGCTGTTAAGGAGGTTACTGTACAGATCTTTAACATTTTACATTTTATGTATATTTTGCAGATTTATATGACAAAGTATCACGACATATAACCGATGCTTTACATGTGCATGGAAATTGAAAATGTAACAAACTGATGTTTGATGCACCGATATACCGACTTCTCCGAAAACATACACTAACGAATTTAGGGTACTTCTCTACAGTACAGTCGTGAGATTGAACTTATCAACTTCCGTAATGGTACGTATTTCATAGAAAAGATTATCACCATTCTAAAAACTTTACGGATAAATTTAATCAGAAGACGCATTTTATAAAATAAAGTTGAAACTTACATAATAACCTTAATAAAATCATGAACCTCAAACGTAACTATTTCAGTGTTTACCTTCCCATACCGATGTATACCGGAAGACAGGCTCAGCACATTGATCGAACATTATCATGACTGCAAATTTTACTGTGACTGCTGAAAAATTAATTCAGTATCTAATCGGTTTTCCATGAACATGTGATAGGCAAGTGGCTTGCATATAAGTCAGCAGTAGGTCGATTCAAAACGTAGTCGGGATCGGGATCGTCCCACGGCTGTATGTTGTCAACTGGTGGAATCGTCGTCAATATTCCTGTTGGTCTTGCCGCTAGAAATACTTTCAAATTGAGCAGGTTGTATGTATGTGATATTATCTGTATATAAATTTTAGTATACCATCCAAATCCAGGTTTGACTTCGTGGATTTATTTATTTGCTAAACTAGAAGCAGAAGCGAACAGGCTCGCTACCACTGTATTTTCCGTGTGTTGATGTAGCGACTCTCGGGTATGACGTCACGCGACCACGTGACCGCCTACCTCATTATCTTGCGAATTGGCAAAATGCTTTCGAGGGAGGTGCGTTTTAGATTCAC